ACACACATCCCTGATCACTTTGGTACCTGGAAAAGAAATCAGACCACTGGCCTCTGCTGGAATGTAGGTAGCAGGGCAGCAGTTCAAGCAGACTGCAGGACTCAGTGCATCACCTTCAGCTCCAGCCACCTCCGAAAACTGAACCTACAAACCTGGTCTTCTGCATGGCAATATGAGCTGAGTTTACTCAGGGGATCTATGTCTATTCTTCATCCTCTCTGCTTATGTCTCTTATGGCTAACATGACATTCTCCATGGTAGGGTAACACTTCAGTACTGGAGTGAAACTCTAGTAGAGGTGTTCTGTGGCTCCATCTCACATAATCAAGCCCTTTGCAAAATAGTGTCTCATTAAACTCTCTCTGGCAATATGGCAGGTTCTGCACTGAATTTCTTCTTGAAATCTATGCCACTGTGAAGAGGTCACTTTCTGAAGTAAAATCTTACAATGCTGTTTCCTATTTTATACCAGTTGTGGGTTTTCTTGGGGCTAGTTCTCCTTACCCATCCATATTTTCTCCCTAAAGCAGCAACTCTTTTTGACTTTTCTCTGGGGTTTTTCCTTGGCTTTGCTCAAATTGGTTGTTTAATTGTCACCTCTGCGGCTCTGTGTTGAGGGGAGTCAAGGTGCAAAGCCATCTAGGTGTTAATAGTATACACTCGTGTTGGGCATGCTCTTCCTGTGTGGCACCACATGCCAAGTATTTTGCAAATATTGTACACCCCTATCAACGTGTCCCACTGATGTAAGCAAAGTGGCCACATAGCTAGCTGGTGGTGGAGATACGATTCAAAGTCAGATTTTTCACTTCTAAAACTATGTCTTAACCCCAATGTACTCAGTTCCAGCCATTTCTTAGAGAACATTTCCCTTCTGAAGATGCTAAGACCTGTGGAAGTTAAGTGACTTTGTCAAGGAAACAAATCTAATCGCAGATGAGTAATAAAAAACACCAAGTTTCTTGACTCCCATGTTCTGACCACTTCCCACTATGTTGTTAGTTTTGTCTTCAACTCAGAATAATGTTAGTTACTTTAAGACTAAGACAACAATTGCCTCATGAACCTGACAACTCAAGTAGAAATGCCTTATTTCTATGTCATTAGTCTTTGTTCTAGCAATTCAATATGGGATCAAATGGAGTCATTCATGTGGCAAATACTGCCTTCCAGCATCACTCAGGAGTGGCCTAGGAAGACAGTGGCGAAGGGGATTCCTCTGGGTGGTCAGGATTTACCTCTACTTGTGCTGTTTAATGGAAAGAGTGATAACCTATGCACAGATTAAAATGTCTTCGCTGGCAGTGGTTAGTAGCTTGTTGGTCAGACATTTGAATTGAATACAATTGTTGACATAGGGGGCTGGGGGTGGGTGGGATGTGGCTGCAACTCTCAGAAGGGTCACTCCGGTGAAGGTGCTTATGTCCTGTATCATTGCTCACCTTAAGGTATCCACTGCAAAGGAAGCAAAGGAGACTCACTAAGACATAGGAGCTGAGGATGGGATGATGGTCTAGTTCTTTCTTCAGCTACCTAAACATTTCCTCCGGGTGCCATGTACACAGTGTCCTTAGCAGTGTGAGTGAGGCTCTGCAGGGCATCCCTAATGCAAGTTTGTTGGTATGGTGATTGCAGCTGCTGAGCTGCTGAGTACCAGTGAGGTCTCCTCATAAGGCACTGTCCCCTGGCAAGTTTATGACAAGTTACTTGGCAAAAGGATATAAGTTTTCACCACAGAATTCAGTGGTATGGTGTGAGTCTCACTAACTGAAGCAACTCACTCTATAGATCAATAGAACAGCCTGCTGAAGGCTCAGCCATGATGCCATCTGGGAGACAATAGATATCAGTCAATAGCAATTGGTACCATTTCTCTCACAGTCAGAATGTGTGGTTTCTAGAATCAAGGAATGGGGATGGCTGTAGCCCCTCTATTATACTAAATAGGCCATTTAAAATTTTTTTGCTTCTCAACCCTCAAACCTAAATGTTAGTGGCCTTGAAGATCTGAGAAGGCAGGAATGTTTCTATTTGGAAACCAAATCTCAATTTCATTTAATTGGAATGTGAGAAAGTCAATCTTGATCCAACAGGTACAAAAAGGAAATCACTTCTATGATGGGAAGAATTGATGTAGGTTAATTAAAACAAAGAGGATTATGCCTACAACTTATTGTCCCAGGAGTCTCAGCTCCCTTGTTAATGGAAAATTTTGGTAACCCAATCAAGACAAAATTCTAAGTAAAGGAGGTTCTACCAGATAAAGGATATGTAACAGGTAGAGGAATTAGTAAGAGGTGGTTATCAATTTAGGCCTAATCATCACATAGGAAGTGAAGAACATAGCAGCTATGTCTTGGTGCTTGTTTGTCCAGTTTTTCTCCACACTACATGAACAGAACTGGTGATAGATACACATTATCATTAAAGAAAAATAATTCCTTTACCCACGGCACATTCTCGTGAATGGCCCATCAAGTGCTCAACTCCTATAGGACTTTGCACTCTATCGTGAATGTAGTCCTGAGTAAAGAATTACCATTGATAACTTTAAAATCAATTAATTCTTTAGAAGCTGTGATTACATTTTGTCATCTGTACTTTGGCTGGCATTACAAATACATTTCAAACTTAACATCAAATGGAGGGCAAATAGCTTTGGAGTTTGAAGGCTTCATCACAGCTTTTTAACTCAATAGAGTATAAGATTTTAAAATTATAAAAATAAGTGGGGTTTATTAGTCACAATTAATAAAAAGAACCGATATGCCATTAATAATTATTAATATGCTATTTCTAGACTTGCCATGTTTTACACTTAAGTTTAAATTTTAGTGATGACATTGTAAGTAGTGGATATTATAGCTTTCAATTGAATATACTATTCTTTAGCCTGCTCAGCTACTTTTTCTTAACTTTTGTTAGTGTATGTTTGCAGTATGCTTACATTCACTGTAAAGTATGTGTCATAACACATTTTAGTTTCCTTCTTTTTACCCCTCCCTTCACACCCTTTTATGCACCTCAAGGCCATAATATTAAGTACACACAAACAAGCTTAAATATCACATAGTGTCACTTACATTAAAATCTCAGTATGTTCATAAAGCATGAAATAAAATAGGAAAAAAAGAGAAAAAAGGTTTTATAATCCATTTCAGATGATCTAAATGTGCTCCTTGACTCAGTGCAATTTTCTTATGTTTTATATGTTCTTTTCACTATTACTCTAGTTTTCACTATGCATTATGTGATATAAGTTACCTTTACAAGGTCTTATGAATGAATGAATCTGATGCTCAAAACATGATGAAAGCTACGAAACATCTTTGCAAAGGGAGGTGATACGTACTCATTGCAAAAATGTTTAAGGGTTTCATGATGTTAGAGAGAGAGAAGGAGAGAGGGGGGAGAGAAAGAAAAAGAAGAGAAGAGAAGAGAAAAAGAAGAGAAGAGAAGAGAGAGAAGAGAAGAGAAGAGAAGAGAAGAGAAGAGAAGAGAAGAGAAAGAAGAGAAGAGGAGAAGGAGGGAGTGAGTGAGACAGCCAGAGACAGAAACTGAAAAACTATTACTTTTAGGCTAAATGAAAAAAAAATGCTTACTGGATTGAATTAAAAGAGTTAATAAAAACATTTCTGTAGTACTGTTTTGGGCTTGGATAAGTACAGAGATGTCTGATCCAAAGCAAAAGAATATAATCAATAACCCATGACAAGAAAAATATTGTAACTAAGACATAAATCCACTAATCACAAGATATCTTAAAAACTTCAGATTTCTAAGAAAAACCAAACACAAAGATAAAGCAGTATCTGAAAGAATATGTTCAAACGGGAAAGAGGTCAATGAGGGGAGCAGGGAAGGGAAGGAAAAGGGAAAAAAGAAGAATGAGAGGGAAAAAATTAGAAACAAAGTTTATGTAAATGGGGAGGGGAAGAAGAGCTGGAGGGCAGGGGAATGGAAAAAATAATTAAGACATATTACATGCAGGTACAAATTCCCTATGATGAATGTGATCATTATATATGACAAATATGTATTAATAAAAAATTAAGATTTTAAAAAATGAGCTCATGAGCTGGGAACATTTTTGGTAAATACATATTCCAAATATCTCACAAGAGCAATGTCTACAACATAAAAATACCCAAATAGATCCGATTCTTTTCTTCTAATCTAGTATTGTCTTTAATATTAGCTATGATTTTGTCCATCTTTGTTAAATAACATTATTTGGATACATTCCAAATTACCTGGTCAAATGTCTAAATAAACTAGAATGAACTGGTGTTTCTGTGGGCTAAGTTATAAATATTTTGATTTTAAACATAACTACACTATGATGTGAAAGAATCATGCTAGAGATTCTCAAAAGAATATTTTCTGATCTATATTTCTTTCTTTAAAAAAAAAAAAAACCTCAAAAGTCAGCTGCTCCACACACTAGGAGGAGATTGTATATTAAGATCTTAAAAAAATATCTGCAAGGGAAAAATTAATTTTAAATGAGATTGTTGTAGTGGTTGTGTGACCATTTTCATTTATTAATACTTACAGTAATACACACCAAAAGACTTTGCTGTATGCATTCAAAGAAAGAAAAAAATGGGATATGCTATCTTTATAAGTATTTGAAATGAATTTTAATGAGCTATTTTAATTTGAGCAAGGAACTTGGATACCAAATATGTGAAGTGACATAAGCACATTATGAACATCTAGAAGTCTGGACTTACAATGAAAATGTTGACAGCTTCTGAAAGTAAATAGCACTCAATCACTAATTTTCTTGGAGGGTAGGATTTGTATCCTGCTGGGTTTATAATTTTGTTTTCTCTTTTTTGTGCTGCTCATGTGTAAATATTGACACAAAAAAGGAAAACAACTTAATCTTGTTTCTAAGCTAATGAATGACATAGGTACTATCTTCTAGATGAAGTATTATAATACAAACTTCCTGACAATGATTTGAGGGGAAAAAAAAAGCCATTTCAAGTGGATTTGTAACAAGGAAACAAATTTATTGATTTTAAAAGACAAGACACCATTTTGTTTTGAAAAACACAAGAAAGCTAGCCTGAGTTCAAGTCTGAAATATTCAGAAAAATCCTACTAATATCTTTAGTATGTTCCAGTCATTTGTTTAAACAACACACTAAAAGTTAATATATATTTTTATAATTATAAAAGTTCCCCAGTTATTGTACAGTACACAATACAAATTGCCCACAAACTATTATTTAGCTCCTGCCAATTTTGAGAGGACATGATATACTAAAAGATTTAGCATTTCTCACAAAAATCACATCAGGAAATACGTATTTACAAAATCAAATACATTATACAAAAAAACCATCACATGTTATTCGGTAAAGGTGTTTTTAAATAATTAAAAAGTTTATTCAACTGTAGTCCCAAAACTGGAAAAGAACATTACATTATCTCACACATACAATCTCTACAAAAGTTGCTTACCTCATTTACATAATATATTCAGTCGATTGTAAAATAAATGTTCAAATATCTCCTAGTGTTACTATGTTTCTGTGCTTGTGGGACTGAATAATGTAATCTGCCACTTACTAAGTGAAATTTAAATGATGGCACTTAAAAAAAATACAATATCTTAAAAAAACACAATGAAAGAAGTTTTACCTAGAAGGTACGAAAGCCCTGAGTGATAGTAGAATTACTGATTGGTAAGCACTACAATTAACCTAATTAAAAGTTTACCACCTCAGGCACAAATTTCCAAGTTTTCTCAAGGCACTCACTTAAAGTTTCTGTAACCAACATTGGTCACCCCCATAGGTCCAAATTGATGATAGAGATGAGTAGAGAAAAAAATTTGCTTTGGTACAAAAGATGCTTTTAAATGAATAAAATTCAATACCTTCTTAATTGGGTCATTTAAAATTGTGTTTAGCAGGTTAAAACAAGGCTAATTTATTGAGGGAAAAATTTGCTAGGTTATCAACAATCAATGGGTTTCTCTTTCCTCCCCTGATTCAAAAGTCTTCTAACAAAGATTTGGTTACATAAACAATTCTTACCAAATATTTCATTACTCAGGGCTTCCAATCCCAACATCATAATTTATTTAGAAAACAAAGGAAAGAAGGAAAAAATGATCAAATACCAGAACCAAATAAAAGACAAATACAGTTATCTTTTTTAAAAGACGTATTACTAATTACTTTAAACAAAAGGGAAAAAATAATCCTAGGCAGTCACTTTGTAAGTGGCTTTTACTATTTAAGTAAAATTGGTAAACTAAACTTAGGTCTACTGGCACATAAAATCACTAGCAGCAATGATCAAGGCATGCAAACTGAGAAGCATTTACAGTAAATCATCATGAAGAATTCAAAAGAAGAGAGTTAAATTAAAACCCTTTGAGTATTGCATGTTAACACATGAGTAATTTGCATGTCTGACTTCCTAAACTGCCTTGAAAAGCAATGTTTACGGCATACTTGTACTATGCTATGAGTGTCCTTTTACCAGACATAAGAATAGGTTACACTCTCATTTGCGCCCAGCTAGGGAAGCGCAAGCACATCTGCAAACAACACTGCTTTCATGTGTAATGCAGGGTACAGAGGGAATCAAGTGCACAGAGATTCCCTTGGACAAAACCAGCGATGGTGGAAGCAGACTGTCATTCAGAGATATCTGAAGCAGCAGTCACAGCATCTCGTGACAGATGAGCTTAAAATCAAGTGCTTTGCTCTCCATTCTATCTCTCTCTATATATTTTTTTTCTGACAAAGTATTAAAGTATTGGAGCATAGATAAAATTATGCCCTGTATGGATTCCCAAACAATATCTTATGAGTGATATAACTCCAAATGGCCTAACTGGCCCCAGAGAGTTCAGAGTCTCTACGTTCACTTGAACTTGAACTTGTTTCTTCCTAAGGCTTCACTTACATTGAAATTTCTAAAGCTAAATAAATGAGATCATTTGTTTTGGGGGGGAAAAAAAAGAAGAAACCTAACTACCCACCCCCCTTTTCTTTTAAAATCATACCTTTTAAAGGCAATTTCTAGATACCTTCAATGTGCAGAAATCAGTTATGACATAGGTTCACAAAGCCCATGTACTTGTTTTCCTTTTCTACAGAGTCATGATGTGATGCTAGAAAAGTTGATTTTTTAAAATCTGTAAACAGTACACTTACTTAGATGGCAGTGAATATTTGGGAATATATATATATATATATATATATCAAGCCCTCTTGAAGGAAAATTAAGAGTCGTATATAAAATGCAAGGGTTCCACATGGGAACACTTTCTTCCTACCCCCCCTTTAAAAAAAAACAGCATAATTAGACATTTGGATATAGAGTATATTTTACCAATCTAAGTCTAAATAAATGATCTGAAAGGCTTTGCCCCTCCCCCAGTTGTGTATCTTACAATGCTCAAAGGGTTAATACAAGGCATTACATCGAAGGGATTTTCTAACACTAGAACTAAGCACTGAATTAATGCTTCTATTCCAGTTTTTAAAATCACCAAACTTGCAGAAATACTAGGATTCCATTAACTGATTTGTTCTAACCACATACGTGGAGGTTGTTCTGATTTAGAGACAAGCCCAATTTTCAATAGCACTGCATGCCAGCCCTCCTCTCCCAGGTTCTGGTGTGACTCATACAAATTACAAAAGCCATGATCTCAATTTTTAGGTGGATGTTATCTTCTCAAAAAATGTGTGGGGGGGAGAAGTTATAACAAAGTCAGTTTATTGTTTACGACCACTGCCTCACATTGCATACACAGGTGACTTGCCAAGGTCTTTAACTTTCTCCTGTGTCCACACAGGGGGACTGACATCACAGTGACACACATTTTTCTCTTTTACATTAATGTTTCAAGCACAGCATTATTTTAGACATTTCAAATATATCATCTGAGCAATTTTTAAAAATCTGAAAATGCATTTAGCATTTCTAGATAGTGCATTCCTGTAACAAAAAAGTTTCATGATTATGGTATTGATAATGCATTCATTCCTGAATGACTTTTACAGCATTCTACAAGTATGTGTTCACTTTTACTTGTCTACTACAACTCACAGGAAGTCCATGTTGAACACTAGTAATTTTAGATATGCAGTGATAAAACCATTTCTGAAATTTTACTTTTGCTTTTAAAGTACACCATCTAGAGTGAGGTGCACGAACCGTGCTGTACAGTACATGAAAAAGCACAAAAAGGAAAGCAGATTTCTGAAAAGGCAGTAAGACTTACACAATCAGTCCAAACAGAATTTGGGTGAAAATCCTGAAAAATGACCAGCAACGTGATATCCAAAGAAAAAATAGAAAGTTGGGCCCTGTGTTCCCGGGAGACGGCTCATCCATTCCACTCCATTGTTCACTGGTTTTGTAAATGCCAGTCTTTTAGGTATCATTCTCAAGGTATACGTCAAGATCAAACTATGTTAAAACTCAGCCTTAGCATATGGAACATTTCTTCTGAAACTCAAAAATGGTCGACATACCTTTCTTATGTTCTTCCTCACTGAAACGGTAGCACTTGGTTTATGCAGATGTATTTCACGTCTAGTGCTAAATTACAGTGTTAAGAAATGCCAGTAGGTCCTTAAAATGTGTATTTTTGTCACTTGTCAATAAATCTACTATGAGGGTATTAATGGTAGTATCACTTAGAAAAGTCATAGTTTTAATAAATGGAAAAAATTAAAATGTTCAATAATTAGTTGGACATGATGGCATATGCCTGTAACTCCAGCACTCTAGGAGGCTAAGGCAGGAGGATCATAAGTTCTACTCCAGCCTGAGCAACCTAACATCTTAGTAAGACCTTATCTTAAAAACTGAAAAGGGCTGGGGATGCAGCTTGGTGAAAAAGTTCGATCTTCAGTAACAAAAGAATTTTTTTTTTGCAGCAACTACAACAAATGTGATTGTTCTAGTTTGCACCAATATATAAATTACTGTTCATATTTTTATATGTATCTCACAATTCAAATTAAAAAGTACTGAAAATATATGTGTCTTGTTGTGAACTACAAATAACTGGAAGTAGCATCAACCATAACTATTGTTTTGTGTATTGGTCATAATTACACTCACCACAAGAATCAATATTCCTAAGTGTTCCTAAAAGTGATAACAATGTTGTATTGAGACAATTTCAAACATAACATTGAATATTATCTAATATGTCCTCACTTAGAACAAACCATGAACAATTGGAAGAAATGTTGAACCCTGGAGGGACCCCAATGCTGAACTTTCATGGATTTAAACTTGTCCAATATCAGATTCCTCGAATGAAACAAATATATCCAACATTAAACTAAACAGGCTAATAAATATATTTAAAGTCATCCATCAAACAAGATGAAAACACTAAATACATTTGGTTCAATACAGTTCTGGGGATAGCAGGTAGAGACAGGAAACTGAAAACTCAGAAAGGAGAGCCAAAATGAGGAGTGGTTTTGTTTTTTGATTTTAATTTTATGTGTAAACATTTTCCCATGCACAATGAAATAATATACATGGCCCTTACAGTTGATGATTTTCATTTTTTTGTGTGTGTATGTGTGTGTGTGAGGGTTGAAAATTCACTACCTTTTGAGAAGGACATAAGGAGATGATGATTTACATTACATTTAGATGAAGGTGGTGATGGGACACTAGTAAAGATTTTCAAATATATTAAGAAGTTATACAGTACAAAATTTGAATCAATTAAAAAATTATATTTAAAACATTTAAATTTTACTGAAGAAATACTGTTGATCTTGAGCATTCTTAGGCAACCAAGTAACAACAGTTTAATACACTGTATGAGCTGGGCATAGTGGTGCACACCTGTAATCCTAGCACTTGGGAGGCTGAGGCAGGAGGATCGCCATGAGTTCGAGGGCAGCTTGGGCTGCATAGTGAGCTCAAGGCCAGCCTGAACTGCATAGTGAGACCTTGTCTCAAAAATTAAAAAAAATACACTGCATGTAACTGATAAGCCATTTGGTATTTTTAACTCTATAAATGGTATTTTTAACTCTTTCAACCCCCATTCCCTCACCTCAAAATACCTGGAAAGATAAATATTTTGAGTTCAATATAGGCCTCATTAGTAAACTGTAAATCATTTTGTGCTTTCCTCTCTTTGGGCTTTGTTTTTGATTTTGGCTGATTCGTTTTGACAACTATTTAAATAAAAGGATGTACCTTTTCCTTGTCAATAATTTGAGTGCTCCAATGAACCTTGGCTTTTCATGCAAATTAAAACGAGCATGGGTATATACTCTAGGGTCTCACCTTCTGACTTTGTAGCAGACTCCTGCCCCACAGGAACTCATGTGTGCATGTGGACACAGACACCCAGACACACGGACAAACACTTAGACTGAAAAGATGCACTTCGATAAGTACCTGCTTATTGTTAACTTTCTAGATTGTTAAGTAGATAACAATGGTCTAAAATATATGATTTTATGTTACCAATCAGTATTAAAACTAGCCTGCTTTCCACACCCTTAAGCAATCAGATTTATAATCAAGTAATATTTAGCTCTAAGAATAAAAAATAGTTTCATGGTCACTCGAAGAGGGAATATGAGTTTTGTCTATTTTACTTCATTTTCCCTAAACTTCCTTTGAAGAACATGTAACCTGTCCTTACCTCAGGAATCTGAAAATGACAGGCACATTTTATCAAATGGGTTGAGGAGTTATTCACATGAACAAAATAAACCTTACTAAACCTTAGCTTCAGTTCTGTTTTAAGGCACCATGTAATAGCCGAGGTACGATGATCCCTGATGTACATTCTTCAATGGCAATGGTTCGTCCAGCCACCTCTCCAAATCCTACCAAACTGGGGATAAGTAACAGTAAGGTGTGCCAGTTACACTGCCTTCAGGTTCTGCTTAAAATTTAAATCCACGTATTAGAAACCAGGAAATATTTTTGAAGGAAATAACGATATGCAGGTTGCTACATTCCTTGCATTCTATAAATTTTCTTTTATAATAGCAGCATATTGAACTACTATTAGAAAAAAAGACCTGGAATAAAAGAAAGTCATCCGAATGGAATGGTTTCCTGTATGTCCAGCTCAGCATAAGTAGCATGTACACTTAAAAAAAAAAAAAAAGTCAAGTCATGTTTTCAGGTTAGTATCTAACTATAATCACCCCACTCAACAGCAGAATGCATCTGAGCTGTGTGGTCCCAAATACAGAATCAGTAGTCTTTAAACAGAGGAGTTGGGATGCAAATAGTTGTTAAAATTCAATGCCTAACGGAAAGCTTGTATTGTTAACAGGACTTAATAATGATGTACACAAATTATGTACATATTAGCATAATCTCTTGCAATTCTGTCATTTACTCTGAACTGATAAATGCACAGCTCAATTTTTGTCAGAGAAAAATAGATGACCTTCCCAACCCTCTCACACTGTAATAAAAACGCTCTGTATTCTCTCCATACTCCAAAATGTTATCAAAATAGTGTCTTATGGTTCTGTCCAATGAAAAGCACCTTTCAAAAGCAAATTTGATGCATCTGCTGCCAAATGGGCATGCCTCCAGTGTAAATCAAAGAAATTAATTTCTTTTGAGATTTCACAGAAGTGCATCTAATTAAAAAAAATTACACATGAAATCATACACCAAGACTAACAATCAACAATAAAATATTTTAAGCTACAAAATGTAAATTACTTTTTGATTATAAGAAAACAAAAACATTGACATTAGGTGTTGTAAAAATCTTTCTTGACACCTGAAACTAAGGGGGAAAAACTCATTATTCAGAGGCAAATAATTTGTTTATGTTAAGGAGAAAAAACAGGACCTGGAAAAATACATACACCCATTCCATTTCACAACTCCAAAAAGGTAATGTTCAGCACATATAAAATTTGACAACAGTCGACCTTCAGGCTTATTAAATTTTCAGCTTAAGCCCAATATCAACAGGTTTAATGTAAGCTGGAAAATATGCTTTAATATTTGTTAGACTGCAGTGTAGGTGTTTCCTGTAGCGCTGCACTGTCTGATAGTCTGCGTACTTGAGACAATGTGCTCACTGTGGATTGGATTCAGGAGGCTTGGTTGCACGCCAGTCTCGAGAACAGGCTGCATACAGCCCACCGGGAATGCCTGGCTCAGCTCTGTTTTCTCTCTTTTGGCTTGAGGCTCTGAAGAATCATCCAATTCTTCATCCATTTCACTTTCCACTTCGCTGCCTTCATCTGCACAAACAAATCATACCAAGACCACTATCAGAAGACAAACTGGAAAACAGCAATCTACATATGGTTTAGAAACACTTTACTATTGTACATTAAGGAAGTAACCTCTCAGTTTTTCCTTAGAGGAACACAGGTTCCTTGTAGGTTTCCCTTTCGTGGGAATGTATCAATGTATATTGAGGCATCCATAATTTTTTTTTCCGATACAGGGTCTCACTGTGTAATTTAGGCTGACCTTGAACTCACTATGTAGCCCTGGCTGGCCTCAATCTCACAGTGATCCTCCTTGTCTCAGCCTCCTGAGTGCTGCAATTACAGGCTGCACCTGCACCTACACCTGGTTGAGTAATCTGTAATTCTTTTCAACACAGCAAAGGTAAATTATTCTTGGCAATTCATGATAGATATTTTAATGTAGTTCTTTAATAAAAAAAGACCCTTGGGATTTCATAAAGTCTCTCCTTAAATAAGGGCACAGTCTGGGGCAATGTAAGTCACTTTGGAATACCTTGCTGGCTTTTATGGAATATACTGGAATGAAAATACTAATAAAAAATTTTCAATTTTCTCCATAAATTTATACTAAATATAAATCTCATCTGTGCTGATGTTATTGTAAGCAAGATCCATGATGATTACATGGTGAAGCAGGGGCTGCTGTAAGAACTTTTGGGCACATGTCAATGTTATGAATCACAGTATTAAATAAATCTTTGATTTTTTAATGATGAAAAAGATAATGAGTGAACAGTAGTATCAGCTTAAACATGTGCAGTGAATTTCTATTTTAGGCAACACTAATGCTATTAATAGTTGATATTTATTTCTGAAATTAAATGTTAGTCATTGTTACTTTCAAATTTGAATACACTTTATATTAACAAAAGACATTATAATGGAACACCATTTTAGCTTTGACAGCATGCACTGTTAAAAATCAAAAGTACAGAAAAGAGAGAAAATATTCTCATGCAATTGTGCTAGTGTACATCTCTTCATCAGTGATAATTTTTAAGCAGTGGTAATGTATCCCTGCCTTACAAAACTTTTTCCCTTTTCCAATATGTTTACTGTCTTAAAAAAAGATACACATAAAATCACATCAAATACCTGATCCATAATAAAATAGGTTTTAACTTATTGTTAGATGCTTGAATTACTATACTGGCTTTTGTAACCAGAGTCAGCTATTTTATTTTGCCTTGCCCCATCCTAACCTACCCAACATACCCCATGACATATCATGTACAGTGAGCATATAATAAACACCTCTTTCTAAGCAGATTTGAGTCTAGTTTTAGCATGTGGGAAACACCTACCATAGAAATTTCAGCTAATGCAGTTGTTCATATAGATGGACTCTGACTTTTCTTCCCTTGCTATAAATTGGGGCATATATGGTTTTAGAGAAAAGTGGTAGAGGCTAAAAGGAACTTCACAGCTGGCTGTGCACTGTGCACCACCAGAGGGCAAGGTCTGAGAAATGGTGTCTGTGATTACAGAAGTTGAGAACAGAAATGATGTTTGTAATGCATTATTATGTGATGAATGTACTCTCAGATGAAGCAAATAGCATCTTGGCCTAACTTCTTTCAACTTTTTGCTCCTGGAAAACAAAGTTGATAATATTAAAGTATGTCAGTGTAAGAATATTTGAAGGATTGGGTAGCTACAGGGAGAGGACTACTTCTGGTAGACATTTATTTCATTAAGAGGATATAATACATGTATCTGTGTGATACTCTGTATGTTGTTTCTTCTTTTTGTATATGAACCAAAATGTCTGGAAACATCCTCACACAAACTTCTAATGGTAGTAGTCACTTAGGATTGTGACTATGAAGTTTCATCTTGTGGTTTCCTTTTCTAAAATAGTTTTCTTCCCCTCGTTAATTGTACATATTATTGAGATTCACTAGGATGTTTCCATACATGAATACAACATACAAAGATAAAACTGAATTCTCGGCAAGTTTTGAAAAATTTATACTAAGTGAACATTATATTTACTATGAGGGTGAAAAATCCTCATTTTGGAAGCAATGCTTTAAAAACTCTGAAGAGTCTGTATTTCTTATTTAAGCTGTGAGTTTGTCAGTGTGGTTCCATTTAAAGAATTTTCAGGCTTCAAGGTGAATGGGACCAGCCTTGCCATGTCAATAAGGTGAGAAGTAACCACTCTGTTTCTCAGCTCCCTCTCCACAAAGTTAAAAAATGTCAAAATAATAAAAGATGCAGTAGTGAAAAGGAAAAAAGAAACCCAATCAGGTAGGGAAGTGGATGGAAGAGTAAGAAACTCCTTTCATCTACCTTGCTGAATAGCTGGGAACGGCATGCAGTAACAAGCTGGGCACATGTAAGTATTCTAAGTTGGTTTGAAGTAGGTCGATTTCCAGGAGACAGGGCTGCTTTAGAAAGGCTACAGAGTCATCTATAAGTTAAGCCTTATCTCCAGTTCCTAAGGACAAAGCAATCAGATTCTGTAGACATTTTTTAGTCCTATAGAAACTCAAAGACATTTCTTGGAAAACCATGTGAAGTTAGAGAAATTTTGTGTAAGAAAACCTAAAATTAGTTGCTTTTCTCTTTTTAATTGTTTGTTTCTTGTATGTAAGAGAGAATCTTTTTTGTCTGTGATTTACATACTGAATAACATTTTGGTCATTTTTAAAAGAGCTTGATTTATCATATATTAACCATTGTTATTCTCTAAAAAATAAATACAATTACCTACTACTAGAGTTAACCAAAGACTTAGGTTTCCCACTTTACAAAGAGGTTTGCTGCAATTCATCATTAATTTATTTCTGATGGTTATTTGGTTAATCCTCTAGGGTGTATATTTGCAACAATATTTTTGTTTATGATTCTCTAATTTACCTGCTCTGCTCTTAGGCATCTTATTAACATGGAAATTAAAGCATGCACAATCTGTAAATAGAGATTTGATAGTCAAAATTTCACATAATAATGATGTTGATTCACCTATGACTCTCCCAAATATATTAGTATTTTCTACCGTAAAGACATTGAAGCTGAACACTGAATACCTTAAAACAAAATGCTCTGGAGAAGAGTGCTGCACTTTTTTGCTGTCTCCCCAAGTCCTTCTTCTTGCCTAAATTTCCCCACTGGCCCTGGCCAGTAAGGTCAAATTGTATAGTTCTCCCAAGTCTTTGTGCATTTTGTTTTCTAGTCTTCAGAGGTCAATAATCTGAATGATTCCCTACACCTAAGATTAGCTCTCACTCTTAAAAAGTGAACACCATGTACTGCAGTGTTTGTTTGCTACAAAATGTGTGTTTTTTAAAAATTGTAGTAGTATTTGTATTAGAATTATTTCCACTTTTACTCTTCTTATGAAGTTGAATAGCTTTGGTGTGCTCTATGCTCACTCCGAATCCCCCAAGCCCTCCCTCATTCCTTTTATTGTGTGGTTTGTTCAATGTGAGCTTCTTCATGAATATACATCATGTATACATTATACTATACAACAGTGACAATGTATTTAAATTTTGCAAGTATATATATTGCCCTGTAAATTTGTACCACTGCCCATCTTGTTTTTACAGTAAACTCCATTGCCCCCTTGGAGATTTTCCCACTGAAATGTGAACTGATAAGGCAGGTGGACCGAGGAATCCTTTTTCATGCCTCGTAGGTTTGACTAGAAATGCCCAGTCTAATTTTACCCTTTTTCTCCAGGATTCTGGCCATGGTCAGAAATAATTTTTTACTACCTGTCATGAACTTCAATCAACATTTAAGTTTTGAATTATATTTTAAGTCATTTTCTGCAGAATACACTTCAGTCAAAAAGTTAAAGTTTGGAACTGCATTTTAACTCAAATTTCTGCATTTAATAAACAAAATAAAGAAGCCACATGGATGGAGTAAAATGACAAAATAATGAAGGAATACCAAAAATATGACTGTCATGTTCATCTACTGTATTTTCCTGAAAATAAGACCTAGTGGAAAATAATCACCCTTGAAAACTAGAGATCAAAAATGCCAGCTCCAATCAACTTATCCTTCCTCACCTGCCTCACAGGGGTGGCAGGTAAGGCAAGGATAGGTTGGTTAGGACTGGTATTTTTGATCTCTGGTTTCCAAAGGCCTATTATTTTAATCTGGCTAGGTCTTATTTTGGGGAAAAGAGGGTAAAATTTGTATGACATTTTAGGTTTGTATGCTATAATATCAGGGTGCCATAGACATACATGGTATTTTCCTCTTTTGAGAATCTCAATAAAAAAATCCTTAAAATGTACACTATGTTAAATTCTTACCTTTATCCAGATTTCCAGGAGACACAGCATTTAAATCACCAAACTGCAAAACAATAGTCATTTATGCAAAAATTACTATCGAGCAGAATAAAATAGTATGCCATCAGCCTGTAGTAAAAACACCACTCCATGACTTTTTAAAAGTGTAAACTAGTGACCACTTTGATCTCTAAATGCAGGAGTCACATAATTTTCCAATCAAACTTGTCAAACTTGAAGTTTAAATTATGTCACAATTTAGCTGTCTTTGCCTCTTTGCAGGAGGATAACAATTTTCTTTGTCTTCCATACTCTGCTTTACTTTTTATTATTTCAACTCAGAGCTGAGAAAGAAGGGTCTGAATGACCTGGCCGAAGACGAATGTAGTGAAATAAACTTGGAAAAGCCCCAGTCAAGCAGGACACATCAGCCCTTTTCCCTGCACATGGCCAGTGAGTTCAGCTGGAGTCTCTACATTAGAAAAGCATGATCCAGCAGTTGGGCTTAATTCTATTTTTTAAAGTTTTTATTAGTAAAAATACAATATGTCACAGGAGCCACAAAGCTGAGAGTATTCCTTTTTATAAATTTTTTTTTCTTAATTGATATTCTTATTTATCAAAAAAATTTTATGTATAAAAAAAGGCATCTGGTCATTATTAATGCAAGCAAGGGTTCACAGAAATATACAACAATAACCTCCAATTTAGATGCTGTTTTCTATTTTGGTTCTATTCGATTTCTATTTCTTATTTTGGTTGATGATAATGTTACAGTGAAAAAGTATATTTTAAGAGTCTCAGGGTTAAGAAAGATGGATACACTAAGTAAAAATTAAATAGCAGTTGTAACAAAGCTAAAAAGGGTCTAAGTGAAAGCACAAAGCATCCACTTTTTAAATGGTAGACATTACTTTCTTTATTTACATAGTAAGTCATTAGAAATTCAGATTTCTCAATAGGCTTAGAAATGAGACAGAAATTCTACTTACATTCAGAAGTTTGCTTATAAAGAGTTCCATGATAGGAGTATTTTTTTCATCTACAAGGTATGTCTATAAAGTAATAAAACTGATCTTATTTTGCAAACATACACACATTGCTTTTTCCCCCCTTCTAAGAAAGCATTGTTCTTCATAGCAGCTACCTTATGAGCTTCTACATTTATCCCAAGTTCTGGGATTCTGGAATTCCTCTTTGACAATAAATTTCAAGGGTTAGTTTATGCATCCATCATTCAAGAAAATCCATCTTGTTATTTTACACCCAATTGTGATTCCAAATTTTATTGATTGCACTTGGTTCTGGGATGATTTTCACAAAATCAAATTCATCTTTATCAAAACTCAGAATACTTAGAAGTAATATGTCACTTTACTCTTCATGATTTCTTAGCATTTCAGAAGCAGTTTATAAAGAGGTATTCCGTACCACTGTTAAGCCACAGCAGCTTTACTGTTTACTGGAACAAATGTGACTGCTTTGAAGGGGCTGGAGCCTCTTGCTTATGTAGCTCTTAGAATGCTAGTCTGAAGCTCTGTGCCATGACTTTATAATTACACTGCACAATGAATATAAAATCATAAATACCAAACTGTTGTTCTGAAATTGCTCCTGAACCACAAGGGTCAAAGCTTGTATAAGTCTAAATAAAATGCACAGTATAAATCATACAGGATATCGTTAATTACAGAATACAATCTAAGCAACAAAAAGCCAAAGAGATTTTTTTATCCATTTTTATTATTTATATATTTTAGAACTATAAACAGAGAATGACCAAAATTGAAGTATCATTAAGTTGTTTTTATTTGAAACAATATGTAAAAATTTTTTATGTATTTTAAGGGAGTTATTTAATAACACTTAAATAACTTAAAAACAAGTTGGCAGCGATGATTCTAAGCAGATATCTGTGTTCATAAAAGTGAATTCAGCTGAATATTTTTTATCCAACATAATTGGGACCAGAAGTGTTTCAGATTTTTAAAGTGTTGGAATATTTGCATATACATAATGAATTCATGTCGAAAGGATCCAAGTGTTAACGAAACTTTGTTTTGTATACACTTTACATACCTAGATGGAAGGTGACTTTACACACTATTTCTAGTGTCCCTGAGGTTTTTCTATAATTCATCATATGAAGTTAGGACTAGCATTTTCTACTCATAGTATATGTTTTTACAAAAGAGTTTTAGCATTTCACATTTCAGATTACTCAATCAAGGATGTTCAACCTGCCTTTAATTTGTTGCTGAATAACCTCTGAAGCTTGTTTGTGACTTCTACTACTGATAATTATAGTAACAAGATCACACAATATGGCTGCGTGTCTATGACAGTTTTCTTCAAAAGAAATACTGCATGTTTTCATTCTGAAAACATGACAAGTATTATGAATGACTAGATTTGATTATTCATGATGTTAAAGCTAAAAGAACCAGAACTACTGAAGTCCCAGTGATTATTTTTCTCATTCATGACATAATATCCACATATTAAAAGTTGGGTACTTGTCACTATGATCTGTTCTGGACAAAGTGTCTCTAGGATTAATCACAAAGCTCTACAAAGAAAATGGAGTAGTTCTTTCTTTAAATCGAGTGAAGAAGAGGGAAGGTTTTAATATCTTATATAGCTTCAATTAAATGTTTTTATATGCATTTTACATGTGAGAAACAAATAAAGATAGACAAATACATACACATATATATTAAATTATATGGAGAAAACCACTTTTATCCTATAGAGAGAGTGGGTTAATATTCTGGACCATCAGTTCATACGTTCATTAGTCAGCACTTATCAAAACTTACTATGTGCTGAGCACTGTGCTAGCTACTATTACCCAAGATCAGTTTAGAAAAACTATTCCTCATGGTGGGGACCATCAGAAATTGTTTCTACTATGACGGACAGGAAGGCCGCAGAAAAGTGAAATTGCCCAGGAAACGACAGAAAAGCTAAGAACCATAGGACCAAAGCCTTGGCAATGGAGATCAGTCACAGGCCAAAGTAACAGAAAGAAAGGACATGAACAGTGGCAGGGGAGACTGAGTGGGCCCAAGGAAGCAGACAGCAGACAAATGACAAAGACCCACATTAGCCTGGCACAAATCAGAAACAGAAGAAGAGAAAAAGGTAAACAATTTGGATAAAAAAAATTGGAAAATACAAAGATTATTCTAATGCTGTTGCTCTGGACTTGCATAAAATTGTTTTGTAAATCTTCCTGGGCACAAGCATTGGTGGGGACCACTTTTCACCACTGTGATATCTTGCCATCTACAAAATACACTCATGGTTCCATGCAAGGCAAGCTTTCTTTTCAACATTATGAGCACAATTGTCATTTTCTGAACATCACTTCCTTGAAGAATCTTTCTTGACAGCCGTATGCAAGGCAGACAGTTTAGATTTCACCTTGTAGCTACTGAAAACAATGAACTGATTTGTCTGACACCATCTAGTAAATATGGTGGTGTTACATTTGAGATCAGATATTCTGACCCTCCCTGTTGCAAAGAAAGGAAAGAGGAGAGAGAAAAAATAGGACAAGGAGGAGGAAAATAAAGAAAGGAAAAAGGAAGATAACAGGAAGGGAGAAGAAAGAAGAGAGAAAGGGAGGAGAGGGAAGAAGAAAAATGAGGAGAGAAGGAAGAGCCATACATGCAGGAAGGAAAATAAATTAAGGGACTTAAAAGTGTTCTGGAAATAGAAAACATATGACATTCAGTGTATGCAGGAATCACAGTGTGGTCAGCCAGAAAGATAAACAAGGACTGTCCCTAGGTAAAAAGCAGAATGGGCCGTGACAAAGCATGCTATTATTTTCAAGAGTGACTTCCTATCCTCTGCATCATAACAGAAAACACCTCTGCGCAACAGTGGACTGAGAATGCCTGCTCAAGGCAGTCATCGTCTGTTAGAACATAGGTTTCAGTGTAACACTAGAAATGAAGTATAAATAGGCAACCAGGTAGTATGGTCAGGGCAACCATGGGCAGGACCTCTGAAGAGAATGTGTGCGAGACCGTAACTCTGGCCAGGCAGTTGAGGGGTAATGCATTGTCAAATTTTGAGGCCTAATATTTTCCCCCGAGCATAAGCACAATGAGAGGAACCTGGCTCAACAAATGATAACACAGTGCACAGATGTGCTGAAGGGGCACTGTGATTAGAATCAGCAGCGGGGCTGACTTTTCTCAGGGACTGGGGCTAGCACTGCATTCACTGCAGCTCCCGGGCACTGAAACAATGTAGAGAAATTCAGGGAGTTCAAGATAGCAAGCAAGCGAGGACCCATGGCGGGTGTATGTGTGCGTGGGGGTGGAGGGAGTTACATGCACACCACAAGTGAGAAAAGATGCAAAGCGTTGAGAAGTTGGGATGAACACTTTACTCTTAGGGGCATTTTCCCTGTTGAGAACAGTTTATCTCACTCTGGGGAGAAAGGAGTCATGAGTAATCATAACGATGTTTATTTTATACAAAATTCTTTAAGTATAACCATAGCTTGCTAACTGTTCAAAGAAATATGAAAGAAGCTCTCTCATAGTTTTGTTAGGTTCTTTCAAAGAACCAAATTAGAGCACTTCAAATATTCCCTGGCACACAGGACACATTTAACAAGTGATCCTTATTATTACTGTTGCTATTACTATTATAATTATGATCATTTCCCAAGAACGGGACACTAGACTTGTAAGAGTAAGTTTGCAAACTATCTCCAAGCAAGAACAACAAATCACTTTGGCATTCAGGCGGATAGTCCATATAGAAGCCACATTCTACTGAAAAACTGCATTAGTACACCCAGATTACAGATTTACAGTGGAAGGGTAACAAGTCTTCCCCAAGATATTAGCTGACCAAGCCTGATAACTTGAAGCTATAACACTTCAGCCTCAAAGAAAAAGAAAAAAAAAAAAAAAAAAAAAAACTGGCAGCAAAACAGAGGCCAGTAAACTTTCAGTAAGGGATTAGAAAGTAGGTAATTTCAGGCTTCATGATCCATAAAAACGATCACAATTATTACATTCTGCCACTTTAGTGCAATAACAGCACAGACAATAGGTAAATGAATATGATTTAGATTTGATAAAACTTTATTTATAGAAACAGATGATATATTGAATTTTTCTCCTGGGTCAATAAGGAAAAGTGTGTAAGGCTCTAAAAAATCTGCTCCAGCTCATGAGCAGTGAAGGAAGGATACTTTATCATTTGGTAAAGCGTAAGGACTTTGTCTAAAGAAAGGATGTGTGGCCAGAGTTAGGCCTTAGAAATAAGCATAGCTTGTGCATATAGGCATCAATAGATGAAGGTCGTGGGACAAAAAACAAGGGCCATCTTTTTAAGATGGAAATTGGTTTGAAAAAAATCTTTCCTCATTGTCTAGGTACTTGTATACATAGATTAAGAGCAAGAAACTGAAATGTTTATTTGCATGAATCAGTGGAAGGAAGAAGTCTAGGATGTGATATTGCAAGGAAAGTTGCAAGACAGACAGGGAAAATTAGATCACTTATAACAATAATTCAGATGGGACAAGCTTTCCTGGAGTGGAATTTATCCCAACTGAGACCGCACGTAAAGGAGTTAAGAAATGGACCGACAGCCCATCTTCTCTACACGTAAGAGCAAACACAGGGTAGTTCCAGATCACAACTGTTTTCAGAGCAGGGTCATCACTGGGGTGAGACACATGGCAGGAAGAGAGGGAAGCAAGAAAAAATAATACACTAAAGAGCAAGCAGTAATTGAACAATATTCAGAGCAACATAGTTCTTAAACCATAACAGATTCCTACTGGTGATATTAGAAATTATCACAAACTTGGTGGATTAAAAACAAAAACAAAACAAAACACAAAAACCCCCATATACATGATCCCACAGCTCTGGAAATCAGAACTTCAAAATGGATTGCACAGGGCTAAACTCTAGTGTGGGCAGCATTGTCTTTCTCAAGGGTCTAAAGAATTCTTCCCTTTTCCAGCTTCTAGAGGTTGTTTCTTGGTTTGTGCTCTCCCCTTTCCCATTGTCCAGGA